GAGTTGGAGAGTGAACTGCATCAAAACTAACGCATGATCAGATTCAACGCAGGTGGTCCCATGGGACCTGCAGTTTTGTACTGAGCCACGCCAACGGTAGCTTACTGCTATGTGGTCCATCTGAGTTAGTGTGCCAGTCGAATTTGAGCGCCATGTTTCTGTCCGTTGAGAGCTGTGTCGGAAGTTGGTGCTGGATAAGAACAGATAATGATCTGCGCAGAACTGAAGAGGTCGATCGCCATTATCTGTTTGCTGGCAGGGCAGAGCACAATGACCGCCTAGAGAATCTCTCGATGCCCCCAGCTTTCCAACTTGAGCGTTAAAATCACCTGAGAGAACAACTATATCGGAGCTGCGGCTCAGCCAAATGAGTTCGGTTATCATAAAACTCGTCCTTTTGTGTGTCGGAACTGCAGTTGATCGGTGTATACGCTGAAATGACGAATAAACACCTTTTAGTGTTGCTTCCCTTCCGGAAGCTGATAGGTCCTTGGAGCCGTATCGTACATAAGCGGCTGTTGACGGGGACCCAATCGAGTAGTGCGGCTTCGGTTGTATTATTCAGTACAATGCCCACACCACGCTGGCCTACTGAACGGGCTTCGGCATCACCTGAAGTGCGGAGGAAGGACCTCGAAGACAACCCCGGTGCACTTAAGTGGCATATAGTACTAGGATCCTGGATCCGAGTCTCCGATACGCAGCAGACATCAATCCCCGAAGAGTCCATTGTACGCGTCCGACACGCTTGTTGACCTACCTACATCAGATTCAGTGGCTTACGAGGCTTCAGAATCTGCAATCTATTTTGTGGTAAACTACTTACCGGGCTACTTGACAACGAACTTCAGCGAGTGACGAACTACTTGCCTGAGAGCATGTTACCGGTTGGAAGAAGGGGTAAAGGAAGAGGGTTGGGTACGGACGATAAAGAGTTAAACAAAGGTTAGGATGCCGATAGCCGCAGCCTTCTCCCTCCATTTACACTTCCATATCCACCACTTCTCGTGGTCATGTCTAAGACTCTTGATGAGCTAGCGTTTAAGGAATTTGAGAGCTTTGTCGGATTTGGCACAAGAAGGAATAGCCTAATGAGCATCTAGCAGTACAGTCGGGGTCGAGATCCCTCTTTTTTTCTGATCGTGCTCCCAAATCCGCCTTTATTTTGATTGATATTTGGATCGCTTTCTTGATTACCGTCCAGTGTTTACTTACTCCCTGATTGAGCTGAAAGACGATCAGACAGTTCCGCTTCGAAGGCCGATTCGCAATTATCGCGGACATAGTATTGTGGGCATCCGTTTCCGTTGACTTTCCTGCCGTTGCTTATCGGACGTAGGGCGGATCGGGCTCGTAGTAGAGCATGATTCGTGTCCACCGGTAAGAGCGTCAGTCTTCAATGGATCCTCGCCAGCGGTAGCTGACGGCGATGTGATCGACTTGAGTCTATCTAAAAGTCGGCGGCTTCCATGTAAGGTGGTGTCGTTTCCTGTGTAACATGTTTGTGCCTGACAGGAACAGCCCGTGGTCAGGGCAGCGTTACAGTAGGCGTTCTCCGTGATCTATCCGGTTGGCTGAGATTGCATGTGTACCGCCAAGAGGCCTTTCTGAATCGTCCAGGGATCCCCCTTAAGCACTGAAATCTTCACGATGCCCGCTACTTCCAAAAGCCTCAGTATGGTCGGGGGTGGGTGCCTAGGGTTGCGGCTGGTCAGCCTTCATTTGCATCTCGCTAAATGCTCCCATACGACCAAGCGTCTCAAATAGTCTCTGCTGAGGAAACCCTGCTTACCTTCACCTGCCTTCTCCAGGGCAACATGGCGGTATTCCGCCTACATGCAAACCATGGAACGTTTTCCTTTTCATAAAGATTATTGCACCGTGATTTGTTTGGCCCACAGTCTGGATTCAGACATGTGTGAAAATTTAAAAATAATAAAACAATGCCCGCTGATGGAGCACTCTGGAAAAACACTAGCTACACTAGCACTCAAACCGTTCAGAAAAGCTTGTAAGAAAACTAGATCTTTATTTAATAGTAAAATATGGTCGTCATGCGCGGACTACACCTCAGCGTGGTGTAATGACTTGCATGCCCACATGATTCTGCGAGCTATACAGGATTTCTTCTTAAAAGTCATTGGGTAGACACCAGAGACAAATCTCTCGAAATGTCAGTAGACTACAGGCAGTTTACCGAGGGAATTCAGCTAAAAACTCTGATTTAAAACAAACCAAAAAGCGTATGAACCACAATCACCCATACCCTTCTGGTTGTGGTAATCGTTTCCATCCCCATTGGGCACTGAGAAATATTAGGCACCATGGATATGAGTCCATCCAAGGACATGTGTTCCGATGAACTCGACACCAACCCCAATGAAATTCAATTTTCACACATCGGTCAGCCACCTTACGGGTCACACTTTGGTTCACCAGAGGCTCAGTTTGTGAATTCCAAAAGAGGATTCACCAGCTTTGATCTAGCAACTTGGCATAATTCTGTCCATTATCCAATAATGGACCCATTTCCTCTTTTAAAAAGGTTGTTGTATAGTGATTCGTTTGACAATCTGAAATCAGGTGTGTGAAACAGAATATATACGGGAACCAAATCCAGCGGAACTCAGGTCGTTCAAAATAATTAAACAGGTGGTGGGAGATACCGAAAGGAATGGTACTTTTTTCTATTCAGATAACTGCTATTTTGTATGTCGATTGTGAAACGTTCAGTAGCCTCGGTGGCATTCGAACCCACGCATGGACACCGCCTACGCTTTGTACGCGCATGCTCTACCAGCTGAGCTACGATGCCACACCGATAGCACTGATCTTTTTCACATTCGAATTTACCCATCCAACTTACAGAGGCATGTGGCATCCACCAGTTAGCATGTAAGCTGACTACCTCGACAGGTTTTCCTTAGAGGCTACTGAACTTTTCACAATCGACATACAAACTTCAAATCTGCCAAACAACTATTGGAACAACTGCTATTTTGGAATATTTTTATGCTTAGCGAGTTTCCAAACTGAACGTTGGTCATACCTTTGCTTTTATTTTTAATTCATTGAGGTAATTTTTTCAACCTTGAACTAACATTCTTATTTTGTGGTGTATTTATTCCGGCAGCAATCGGCTGGGTTCACTTTAATCAATTCCAACTTTCGATCCCGAATGATTACAAGAAAAATGAACTTCATTTACGCAAAGGGAAGAAAGACGGTTCCGTGAAATTGTCTCAAAAATAACGGTAATAGAGAAGCAAACCAAGGATTAGTTTTTTGAGAAGATGCGAAGAGGGAACCTGTGCCAGTACATCAGTCACCAATTTCAATGTTAACAAAATTAGGAGAATTTAATCATCAATTCTTTAACTACAAAAATTTCTTTGAGAATCTTACTTGATGCATCCAGTCTCTTGCAGCACGTACGTCCTCATAGATAGAAGTATAAGACATATAGAGGTTTCCCTTTTTGACTCCAGTGTCCATTTGAACGTAGGCGGAATCAGAGTTTAGAAGATGTATGATACATGATAGCATGTAAATTTCTAAGGCAAATGCCTAAACCTCAAAAGCTGTTTACCTGGAAGACTGAATAGAGTATTCATTATTTCAATTCTTTTTTCATCATATTTGATAAACTTATTAGGATACATTGCTCGTAATTGATCCCTGAAGTTACAAATCAATGAAACCAAATGAAATTTACCCTTGTATGAGCTTGAAACCGCGAAGACAACGCAGTATGTTTCCGAATTGATCCATCTTTAGAAGTGTGCCATACATTCGGTCGAACCACAAACCCCTAAATGTAAAATTATGTTGATATAGTGAATGATCATATATTCAGGGGCGGAAACAGACAATATAAACGAACAAACTGCATGTTGCAGCATTGTATAATGCATACTAGTAATTCAGGCCATAATAACTGAGCAGGTCGGTATACAAGCGATAATGTAATTCGGCTATTAGTACTCGCAAAACTTTGATTCAGTTGATAACTGCTGGCAGTTAAGTATTCTTAAACTCATAGAAGTTACTCATTTTACTTTTTTTATTTCATCTCACACGTTTGTCGTGGAAATTCTACGAACACCAGGATATACAATGCGGTTTCTATAAGCTGTAACTTAATCCTGAGGCACATTGGTAAGATGTGTTGCTCTGAAGGATATGTATACATGGGTTTTATATCACAGTATTGAGTGGTGTAAAGGGCAACCCCCCACAGCGACGAGAACTTGCAAATCGCTTACGGGGGGATGATTAGAGCCGAGGATCAAAGGCGTGATGAGATTCCACCTAGCGAGCGATCTCTCTATGAAAATCCATAAAGGTCCGTCGATAGCATCGTGACGTGAACAAACGTGACCCGCTACTACATTAGACCATGGTTATTACCCTGTTACCCTTCAGATGACACTTGGCTAGACAAGTACCAGAGGTGTGCCCACGAAGATAAAGTCCGAGTGGTACTAAGGATGTAATTCTTATTATAGATCAAGACCCGTTAATGGATTAATTCAGTGACACATTTTTCACTCATACTTCGGCATTCACGAGAAGTGCCCCAGTCTGTGCTTTGCCGGGATCTGAGATGTCAAGGCAATGAGCTGGGAACAAATATAAAAAGACGTGTTCACACAGCTTGATGGAACGTCAGGTCCTTCCTGTATTGTGAGTCGGTAGATGATGCACACGGTACACAACTACGTTATTGAAATTGCTTACATGCCGAACGTAGTTATCCAATCTCAAATCGAAATTAATCCTAATGCTCCACATCGATGCGACTTAGGGGCTCTATACGACGGACCAGCTGACAATTTCCGGTGATAGTGTGGTTTTTTGATTAAACAAACGGGCAAACAACTATCTGATTGTATGAGAACCCAATTTCCAGAATCACCATTTCACATTTTAAAGGATTACCTCCCACTGTTTCAGCCATCTCCGTTAGTACACCGACTTTACCAGCAGGAGAACCTACCAAAGGTGAGCTTTACAACCAACTCCAAGATGCAGTCAACAAACCCTTTAAACTTGACATCCTACTCATCTCGGGCGACTGCAATCTTTTTATGACTTTTAGTGTGATGAACAGCAGATGGGGTAAACTCCACGGGCACGAGGACCTGCTGTTTAATAATAGAAAGCGGCAACTTAAACCCCGGAACTTGGAGTGGCAAGCCACATAAGGCCCGCTAGGCTAGGCGTAGTATTGAACCGGACGACAGCAAAGCTGCCCACCACCAATGAAATGCACTTGTCGGACCATCGGATATTGAAACAAAACTGGTCACAGAAAAATTCGGTCTTGGTCGCCAATGTTTTAAAAAGGAACGTCTGATAACGTTTGTCGGATTCAATTGAATGGTACATGATTCCAACACAACAGAAAGCATTTTTGGTACTCTAACGACAGTATGACACTAGACAAATTAAGTTCTAATACTATTCCGCTGATCACGTGTTATGAACTGTCGAGTATAAAGCAGAACCGAGACTGATAAGGACAACGAAAATGACCAAACATTATTCTGTGCTCATCCCCAGCTTCATCCAGCAACTATTTACAAGGCTGGTTTCTCAGAAAACATCTGCATTATCAACAGACATGAAGAAAGGGTGGTCTAAAACGTCGTTGCCACACAAATGAACGCGAATGCATGCTAGAATACCCACAAAACGACAAGAAAGGCAGATGGAATGATGGCAAGGAGATGGCAAGGATGTCCAGATAGCGACATATTGCGGCTCTTTATCAGAGCGAAGAATTTGAGAGATCGTCAAGTCCCTGGTTTTTGTACTCCTACCAACGATACTAGAATGAAATAACAGACGTAAGGGATGCCACCGCTGGCTCCGACTTTAGGAAACCCTTCCAACTGATCAGGGTCGTCTTTCGGAACTAAATAACATAGGAAGTCAACCCATCAAGAGAACGGTGTAAAACCTTGGAAGGTCAGTTGAAAATTTTGGCCAATCGCCCAGGGTAGTCGTAGCAGAAACAGCCTAAATATCGCCGTGGATACGATGGCTTACCTAATCAACTGCAACTCGCCCGAACAAGAAATCACCACCGACGTAGCAGTGTTGAAAAACAGAAAGTCACCGAGGAAGGACGGTGTACTTCCGAAGGCCTTCAGTTTCTGCTGGCCGAGATCCGATCCATACGCTGTTTCATATCACCTGAATACCTTCCCAAAGGACTGGGTCACTTTTTCCTGTTGCCAATCATTAAAAAGCGACAACCGCTGCATATCGACCAGAAACTCTTGCATCAAACTAGCTACGAGCGTTTACCTTCAGGGAAAAAGGTTGTGCCAACCCAATTTTAAGACTGAGGAGTACTGTGGAACATTATGAGAAACTCCATCAGTCGACTATCATTTGATTCATAGTCTTGGACGCCAGCATCTGCTGTGTCCGCAGATATTCACCGAGGTTAGTACTAGAAGTGTGACGCCCAGTTGCGAGTCGATGCTGTTGAGGAGGAGTCTACCGAATTCAGATTAAACAGATATGCCTCTTTCTTCAGTTCAATTGCCATCAAACGAGTCATGAGACAAGCCTTCGAAGGTGGCCATGGGGTGCAGCTTGGTTCGAATCTAAGGACTGTCGGTCTCGAGCTTGCAGACTAATTTCCAGTAGTAAGCAATACAAGAGAACTTCTTGTCAAAACAGCAGATTCAGACATCAAAACCTTTAAACCTAATATTTTAACTGCTGCCAACAACCCACCTGTGTCTGCCAAAAATATCTGTAGAAAGCGGCAGTCTTCAAATACCTAGGCTAAGGACGCAATCTAAGACAACGCTGGAAAACCTTGCTTTGGTTTCGGTTTGAACAACCATTAACCATGAACCTTCGTGGGCCGGTTTTGGTTGGTGTCTTTTGGCTGACCATTTGGATGAAGCAGTAGAAGACAGGAAGGTTAAGAGTAGAGTCGAATAGAAAATGGAGAATTTCAATGGATTATTGTTATAAAGAAAATGAGAAGATGCACAAACGCCACATTTTACAATACTCAGACATATCACTGTGTTTCTAACCATTGATTACAATAATCCCGAGGTCCCCATTCAGGGGGCTTAACGAGACCTATCCGATTGAGTTTCCTGGTTAAGGTTTTCATACCCTTGTGCCAGATTGACCGCTCTTGACCTTTTTCCATCCACTGCCTGCCTCGGCAAACATCGCTTGCCGTGGAAACCTACGGGGTGGCATGCGTTACAAAGGCCCCAACCAACGTAATCTATGGAGGTCGACCACTTGCTTGAGTGGGCGACCGCGGTTGCCTAAAACTCTGCACCTAGCCTAGAAATTGCTCGTCTGGCTGCCCCACTAAATTCGTGCAATGCTGCGTAGACAGCGATGTTAAAACACCGACAGTCTATCTTCATCCTGCTTTCTTATTGGCCAAGTTTCTGCAGCGTATAGAATAACTGGTCGAACCGCTGCAGCATACACTCGACCCTTCACAGATAACCGGATGCCGCGACGGTGTCACAGATATCTCAAGCTGGCAAATGTCAACCAAGCCTTCTATATGCAAGCGGACACCTCACCTGTGATTCTTTCGTCTGATAACGTAGTTGTAAATACGAAAGTTGTCCTGGACCCATTGCAAAACGAGCTAGAAAACCAAGATTTTATTAAATGAAATTGTAGGTATTGAGAACTATTTCTAAGCGGCATAAATAATCTTACTGACCTAAGACGTTGGTTAATGCGAAACGGTTGTATTTGACCAAGGGTGGCGGTGATAGATCGTGATCAGTGAAAGTGCATACACTGTTAATCAGTATTTCGTGGCTGTGCACCTTTCAGCTGGCAGTAGCTTTTCGGTGAATCGATCGAAAAGCAGGCATAAAATAGTCAAAACAAATAATATAATAAAAAGAGTAAGCGAGACCACCCTTGAGAAGTGAGAAAGTAAAATAAAATATTGTTTTTCTATCACACTTGCCATTATTATGAAATTCTCCTACTTTCTGGCGAACTTCAGAGCTGTTATATCAGCCCCGAAAACAGGGTTCCACCAAGGTGTGTTGCTCCGGCAATCACCGCTAAGATCATAATGATTCACGTGAAGATATTGTGGACCTAACCAAATCCAAATGCAAAAACATAAGCATCTCGAGATGCTTACTGGAATCTAGAGATCTCTAGATTCTCGTAATATACCATGTACTCCATGCAGACGTGGACTGATGCACATGCATACTTGTCTTCATACGTACGGTTAAGACGATAGGCAAACGCGTAAACTGCATCCATTCAGCTTTTGTTTGGCAGATACAATANTACAATATATGAACAATAGGTATAATAGATGAAGGGTTGCAGGCAACCTACAGTCAGATGCATTCTGAGACTGAACCAATAAACTTGTTTATTGCTGAATTTATTGCAGTATTACAGAAATATCTGATTATATATTTCGAAATATATATTTGTCAATAAATATAATGATCTTTAGTAATTTATAAATTCTAATTGATTGATCGATCGATTGGCATTCGATCTTGAAATTAAACTCCTTTGGATACTGAACAGTTTCCTACCAGACTTACCTAACTGGAAATGATGGCTCATATTTGAAGTTCTGGATTGCCGCAGGATAACCAACATGTACTAAACGTTGTTTCAAAATCTCAAACGCCAGTTCCTCGTAAGCCGGAGATTTATACTCTTTAAGTTCGAAATGCAAAACTGGTGGAACAAAACTTACGAGCCAAAGTGTAGTCCATGTNNNCAAAAAACCTGATTTTGTCCAGTTGCAGACTTCGGTTGACAAATATCCTGAACAAATATTAGGAAAACCACATTCAACGTACCTATGTTTTGTTTCCCTCTTCTGGACCCGGGGGTTGTAAGGCGGGTCTTGGCATATAAAAGAATCAGACGCCATCTCTGGAGAAAAACCACGAAGCCTAGTAGGCAGCAGGGTAAGAGACCTAATTTATTAACTGCACCGACCTACAAAAGTGAATGTGAGTGATGTAGTTAAACAAACCGTCAGGTCACGTCAGGTCCAATCCAATCTTCTAAGAAATAGAGGCCTCGACCTTATGGTTGTCCTGATTCTGGCTTGATCTTGTCGGTAGACCGATCGAGCTGTATATTTGTCCGGCTTGCAGCACGGTTGATAATTCCGCGACCGTCCGAAGTTGCGGGATTCGGATGCAGTAGGAGTCGCGTCTTTTATTTGTAAGGCTGTAAAAAAAGGGGGCATGCTGCCTTCTCGCTGTGTCGGTGAGAGACTTACGTACACTTAATTGTAAGCGCTCCTGCGTCTGCATGCTGAGCATGCGCACCACGTTGTGTCAAACGTGGGGGTGTGGAGAATAAAAGATGGAGCTTATTTCCCTTGTTTTAGGTCGCCTCTGGAAATGCTTCGGCCCACACTCTATCTAATTTCATTTTAAAGGCCTGCACTGTGGTCAGCTGAACGAGTCTTCCGCGGAGGCGATTCCATAAGTTGACCACCCTGTTGGTAAAGAAATGTTTCCTCACATCTAACCTTTCAGTTCAGTTCAGTTCAGTTTGCACAGGACGATGTGTGGCCCGGGCCAATCTTGCGTCC